GTTACGATATCTTGAGTATTGTGTGGGCGCATGTCGCCAGTTGCTGTTTCGCTGTTTGCATACATGACAAGTGTGAAGAAGTCGAGTATGATGCACAAATGTTCCAAGTGTCCCAAATGTCCCACGTGTTCCATGAACACAGGTATTGACGACGAACTACCAGCGAACAAGGGAAGAGGGCTTTTTCCATGTGCCTTGACTACATGAGCTGAAGTAACACAGATGCGGGTGAGGGACTGCACGCACAACGAAAGGAAATGGGGATGTGTGTGAGGGAGGGATTTCGAAGAACACCCGTAGCAGTGCTGATAAGTAGAGTTGCAACAACTGTAGTTGTAGTACTTGTACTGATAGCGGCCACTAGTAGTCGTAGCTGGTCTTGGATGAAGAACAGGCGGGGGAGCCCTGGCAAGACTGTATTTGCTACAGGCTTTCTGGTACAGCCAGAACTGGATCGTGGGGAAGGGATTTTTGACAGTGTATCCGTGTTCGATTTCATCAGTGTCATATACGAATTGATTTGCATTAGCCTTGGGGGGGCTGGGGGTGGGGTGGGAAGTGGGGAGTGGGTGAATTGCTTGGGGAAAGGGGGGAAAGTGGTCACCTGGTGCAGGCAGGGGTGTTCTCTGCCTTAAGGTTCACCTGTTGACAGACTACCGAAACCGGAAATGTTTGTGGCCACCTCTGTGTGTGTGTGTGTGTGCGTGTGTGTGTGTGTGTGTGTGTGTGTGTGTGTGTGTGTGTGTGTGTGTGTGTGTGTGTGTGCGTGTGTGCATGTGTGTGTGTGTGTGTGTGTGTGTGTGTGTGTTTGTGTCTAGTTTATTCCTTCACATGCTTCTGACATATTAGGTCTGTCGCTACTGTGCTTTCGCTATGTTCGGCGGGATTAGTGCATTCGCTGTACAGACACTGTGGGTTTCCTATTCTGCTTTGTTCGTTCATATGATTGTGATGTTTTACGTTCTTCGAGTCTCTGATCGCCTTTCACTCGATGTGCTGAAGTGATCGGACAAATTTGTTTTATGTTCATTCATATGCTTGTGATGTTTTACGTTCTGCAACTCTCTGATCGTTTTATGTTCATTCATATGCCCATCTTAATATGTGGGGGGGGGGGGCGAAGGGGGGGGGGGGGGGCGGCGGCGCAAAAGAAACAAGCACGAATTTACAAAATGCTGGCAAGGGGGGCAGGGGGTGAGGCGCTGAACAGTTTCCTCGGTCTGTTCTGCTGAGAAGAGATAATATCTCAGACATTCACTTTGTATAAACCGTATAGTGTGAATACGGATACATAATATTCGAATAATTTTATTGTAATGATGAACTCTTTCCATGTTCCTAGAGTGTGGAAACTGCATCTGCTGAGGTCTCGCAGATGTCATCTTCCTTGGAGAATGTGAGTCGAGCACTGCGGCGATGCTGGGGGGGGGCTAGGGTCGTTGTTGTGATGTGGCTTCATTGTGACTTCTACAGTGGCCAAGGCCAAGGCAACTGGCTGTGCTGGCTGTGCTGGCTGTGCTGGCCAAAATCAGCTCAATTGAACGCAACGATGGACATTGCTGACCCATGATATTTTTTTGGTTTCAATGCGTCTCTATTGTTCTTCTTGAGTATGGGGTGTGGTGAAATTCTGTTTTCTTGAATTGTGTTTCACTCGACGTTTCACTAGGTTGCACTTCTTTTGGTTAGGGCCAAGGGGCGGGGACAGGAAAGAGGGGGGGGGGGAAAGGGGGGGCAGTGGGGGAGGCAGAGTTTTTGTGTGTGTGCACAACTACCCACAGCAAAGCAGCAAAACAAAGAATACCGTGTTGCCCACCAAGTACAGGTCATCCCAAACTGAGTGTTCTTTGTTTTTCTCACTGAAAAGGAGATGAATACGGAATCCAATCTGCCGACAACCTACCCACCTGCAGAGAACATTGAAGAGAATTAACTCAGGAATCGATTGTCCATGGCAACAAGGCAGAAAGCAAAAGACTCTGTCCTTCGAGACACCCGTTAAAATTTGAACGATACAGAGAAGATTAGCATGGCCCCTGCGCAAGGATGACATGCATAAATCGAGAAATTGTCCAAATTAATATGTATATTTATAACTCCGACGAAACAATTTGCCACAGTACCTCGTTTGTTGTCCTCTTCTCCCTCTCTGCCTACGGTTTACCGGGCAGCTCTGGTTCGACTACTCGTTTGTTGTCCTCTTCTCCCTCTCTGCCTACGGTTTACCGGGCAGCTCTATTTGACGATATATATATAAAAGAAAGCAAAAGTCTGTGAACAGCAACGCAGGGAGGCCACTAGGCATTGGGCAACAGGCAGCAGCAAGACACATAGGCTGGAGTGGAGAGGGGAGGTGGGTGGGCAAACAGATGAACGCAACGCAACAAAGAAAAGGGTAGACAGTGACGGAAAGGGCATGCGGGAACGAGGCATGTGAAGACATGCAGCAGCGAAGGACAAAGGCTGGAGGGCAGGGGGAAGGAAGGTGGGCACACAAAGGCATGAGACAACAAGGCATATGACGGCATGGGCACACAAAGGCATGAGACAACAAGGCATATGACGGCATGCAACAGCAAACAACAAAGGCTGGAGGGCAGATAGCACACGAGCACATTAAACAGGCAAACCACAAAAACATGCAAGTCACAAAAGAACAGAAAGACCGAAAAAAAGTACAAGCGGACGATGAGAGATTGTTTCAGCAACTCCGACTGCTCATTCTGCTGGAGGGTGGAACCCTCGACAATCTGCGGAATCGCCGTATTGATACTTTGGGTCATGAACCCTTTGATCCATGTTTGTTGAAGTCAGACTGCCCACAAATGGAACACAGCAGCGGGCAACGACTCAGCGAAGCGCCGGGCAATGCTGCCGGAGCAACCCAACTGCGTAATGCCAATGACTACAGCAAGGAACGACAGCGCAGCGCCAGCGGACAAGCAAGGCAACTGTGCAATGAAGTACATGGCAACGCCATCAAGGCAGCCACACTACACGGCACACAAGCGAAGGACACGACGAGGAAGACACGGCAAGCGGATGGGAGACAAGGCAGCAGAGCAGTGAAGCATACAGCAACACCAACACCAGCACCACACCACACAGTGAATGCAGACCAGCGATTTTGTTAAAATGGATGTAGTATATTTTTTTTTTTAACGAAATTGAAGTCTCGTTTTTTGGCAAAAGAATCGTGAAATTGAGTGTACGGTGTTCTGAAAACGCCCTACCCCCTCAAATTATCTGGACTTCGCTTGAGTCCACGTACATCCATGCCAGAAAACGTTGGACCCCTTGGATGTATGTGGTCCACGTACATCCATGGCGGAAAACGTTGGACCCCTTGGATGTATGTGGAATTCTGCTAAGTCCAGATTCATCACGGGGGGTAGTCAGAACGCTGCACCGTCAATTTCATGACATTTTGGCCAAAAAATGAGATCTCGATTACATTCAAAAAATATAATACGTGCATTTTATTTTTAATGAAATCGCTGTTGCAGCAGCTTGCCAGGAACGACACCTGAAGCAAGTGGGACAGGCCACAAGGCAGCGGTGGAGCGCAGACGAGGCAGTCTACACACCCGACAACTCACATCACGGGTGAACCCTGCAGACTGTTGGCTCCCACCACAGGCTGAGCCAGGGAGTCACTCGGATGGAAGGACGTCATCACCCATAGACCATGTGCACCATACAGACATCACGAACAGAGTGGCTTCCCTACGAGTCCTGTAGGCACTCCAAACAATGGACCACGGTCCGACCACCTACTCTTTAGCTCTCACTCAGACACATGGAAAGTACGTTGAAAAATCAGAAAAACAAGCAACAAACAAACAACAGACATACACAAAAGTGTGTGTGTGTGTGTGTGTGTGTGTGTGTGTGTGTGTGTGTGTGTGTGTGTGTGTGT